TTATTCGTTGGGAACGTAAAGTATTTTGTAAATTAAATTATTCTTTTTAAAATGTGGTAGCCTCGTACTTTGTCCAAAACTTAGACTGTTATCAATTGACCTGTAGTTACCACTCTGTTTCTTCTTTCCCTGCTCCATCCGCCGGAGTCAGAAATTTAATATAATTTAATTTATTTTTTATTTTATACAGTTAAACACACAGATGCACACAAAAATATCAATGTCAAGCACAAATTTTAAACTTCGTCCAAACATAACGGGTAATATTTTCGTCAGAATAACTTGCCGTTCACATAAAATTTAGTCTGCAAGTGTAGGAAAAAAATTGTCTTTTAAAGGCATCTGTTCCAGTCGTCTCTATTAATTGCACATGTTGTTGAAAAAGTATCATAGAGTATTTTAAAAAAATCAACACATATTTAGTATAGATAATTAACTTAATTAATTTTAATCACGAGGCATAGTACAGTTGGCACTTAACTAAATTTTTTAAACATCTAGTCAGGAATTTGATTCTTAACGATATATATGGAGAGGTCTCGTAACTGATACTAAAACCCTTTCAGAAAATCTACAGTACGAGGAGATGAGTGATTGCTACCGGTAATAAATATTCTGGGCTCAGTAATAAATCTTAACATTTATAAATTCACTCCTATATTTATAACTTTGACAGATTATATTACAGTGCATGTGAGAAAAAGAGTGGCCAGGGTTAGTTAGACACATGCATATATGCAAGTCAGATACAGGGAATGTGAACTGCGACAACAAAATATACCTACCCTGTTTGGTCAAATGAAAACCCTAAAGTTTTACCTTTGTCGACCTTCATTATTTATTTTTTTTAAAATGTTCTCATGGAACCTTCATTCTAAATTGCCGTCCCATGTTATTATATTTGCTAAAAGCTGTTATCATGGATTCACTGTTGTTTGTGCCCGCGCTTGTCGTCCCTTAAATTTCCAACAACTTGTTCCTCACTGGACACACCAAGAATATTCTTGGAGATTTTCCTGTCTGTGGTTTTTTTTTAAAAAAAAAAAGTGGCAATAATTTACGTTTTTTTTTAAAAAAAAAGAAGTTAATTACTTGCACAATATTTTGTTCAAGTTTCTTACCATCATTACGTCAAGTTCTATATATTATGTCATTTGATAGATTCCGAATATCATTGCTGCGAACCTAAGAGTTACTCCTCCGGTCTTTAATATAGAACCAAATTGTTGAGTTGGTTTAAGTCCTAAATATAAGACCCATTTTTCATATTTATCACTTTTTTCTAAATTATCCCTGTGGATACTCCCCAACCATAATCAAGTAAAAGAGGGAGAAGAAGTATTAAGAGAGATGATTATGGTATTTTAGAAAAAACGTGTCACATTTCTTATAATTAACTAACTTACCTAACTTCCCTAATCTAATCAAATTAGTTAAATGAAAAGAGTTATGATTAATTATTCTAAGTTATGAATTTATAGTGTGGTTTTATATTTTATACTGACAATTATGAAACTTTAGTGAAGTTGAATAATTGTTTATATGAAGGATAAGAAAATAAATTTAATTTCAAGAGAGCAATTTCACCCAAGCTTTCTTTCTCCTTTTTTGAAAGTTGTTGACTTTGTTCAAACGTATGGCACTTTCCCTTATTTTTTGTTGTCTCCTGCACGTCTCTTGGTCTTACATTGTCTTCTGTTTATTCAAAATGAAACGCGTCGATGGATCCATCACCCGCTAATTTTTGCATCGAAGTTCATTGTATTCTCCGAGAATATTTTCCTTTTGGAAATAAATATCTTTGGTGGATTTTATTCTACGTGCGGTCCTTCTCTTTTGTCAACCATGCATCGATTTTAGTTCGTTGCTTTGAAGTTTAGACCTCTTCCACAGTGAAAAATTGATTTAATTAATTTTCGTTTCTAATTGTCTTGTTGAAAACAAATGCAAAATGCAAATACAACTTTTGATCTGAGGACTACTCGAATTTGAATGCTCAGCACCAAATTCCCGATAGAGTGTCATAATTTAACTATGAAGTGCTTATACTTAATTTACAAAAATTATAATATCTCTTTATAATAAAACTACTAGCAAAATACAATACGATCATATTTTATGGTCTGATGTTGTTCTGCATTTTTTTTTTCACTAAAAAAAGTCTGAATCCAAGTGGAAATCATTGTACGGGAATATATCTCCTGTTTGAAAATAACTGCAGATGGAGAAGGTTGAATGTTTGATCCGATCACTTGTTTAATATTAATATTTGAATTCAACGCTGCCAAAATTTCAAAACTTCTCCAATCTGTTTCAAAGTTATTACCAATCAAGGTTATTTATAAAGTTATTAAATAGTTAAACCAAGTCAATATTTAACTCTATTCGATTGAAATTATAATGTTAGTTCATATTTATCACTATTTTTTATCAATAAAGATATTATGGTAAAACTTGATTAATAAGTTATTACAATTCTAAGGTGACAGATTTTTGAATTAACTAGCAACCTCATTTTAATTAATTTACACATAAAATATATAAGAAATGTATAAACTAACAACCAAATCATAACAAAAAGAAGACAAATTAGGGTGACATTTTGTTTTTGTGGTCAGCAAAGTGACTAGATTTTGGTGAAATTGCTAATTAATTGGTAGCTTGGAAATTACTCAAATGTCAGTTGTGAATTGTGATTGTGTCGTAAGGAAGCATCGTAATTGCAGAGATTCTTTCGTTATTAAATTTGTATATTATAGAAATATGGTAAAGACACTTTTGGGTTTATCCATCTTATTCCACGTCAACCTAATGCTTTTAGGAGACAAATGAATTATGGCACATGCTCGCTTGTTATGAGCTGAGTAAAGAAATCGCTTGGGATTTGAAACTTCAAAGGAACATCAATTACCGCGACCAATACTTTTAAGACACGTGTTGTCAATAACCAGACTCATGTGATGCACCACTAATTAATAATTAGGCCTTTTTTAATACTCAATGTACACATTTTACGTATGGGCAATAAATCCGGCTCCGCGGTGAGTTCTTTTTTTTTTTTTTTTGAATTTTCCATTTTACATAATATCATACTAACTACTGTCATTAATATAAGAGCTAACTGATTAATTTGAGTAGATTAAGATAATTAATTAAGTTAGTTATTTATAATAAATATATGTTATTTTTCATAAAATATCTTTATTAATCAATTTTCACTTGATGAAATATTTTTTTTAGCAGAAATTTGATGAAACATTTAAGATCTATAACTACTATAAAAACTATTTTAAAAATTAATAAAAATGACAGACAAAATATATTGAGGTCTTATATTTATGATAAAATTAAAAATTAAACTAGCTCTTATATTAAGGATCGGAGGCAGTAGTACATTGTTTTTTTTTGGTCGGATATATTATAGGAGTAGTTTGTAAAACTGATTATATTTCATTTTAAAATATGTGAAATTAAAATAAGAAATAACCTAATTTAAAAATAGAGAGTACGTGTGCATAAAAGAACGGAACATGAACATGATGCTTATTCCGCGCTGAATTCAACTGGTGAACTAATCAAACTGACTGACCTGCAAACTTTGATTCTTAATTATAGAATATATTTTTAACATCATAGTAAAATGAAGGGGAACAAAATTAAGACTTATTTCTGTCGCGGCAAGTATGAGTCCCACCCGCAACACGATACAGGGGAGGGTGTCATCGCCCCAGCAAAATCAAAATTCAGGAGAAAAACATAATAAACACAACTTTATATCGCATGTGAGTGCTTAGCCTCACAAGTAAAGGTGTTCAATTTGTACCTTCTTAATCCTGGTATGTTTGGAACAAGAGGGGACCGGATAAAAAATTTTTTAAAACAAGACAAGCAATGTACAGGACAATAATCGAGACAGGACGGGACGGGACGTCGTCCAGTCTCAGGGTATTTTTTTAAAAAAAATTATTTATTAATAATTATTATTAGATTATTTAATTTACTTATTAATTATTATTATTTTTATAGTGATTTTTAGTTCTTAAGTTATATTATTATCTCAATAAAATTTCTTTCCTCAATAAAATATTCATAAAACTATTATATAGTGTTTTTTTTTACAATATTGTTTATATATCTTTTTTATAATATATAATTAAACTTTTTATATAATATTTTTTAATGATATTTTTATCTTTAGAAGTCTAATGAAAAATAAGAATTATAACATAAAAAAATTCATATAAAAATTTTAATTTTTTCTTTTAAAAAGAGAAAACAGGATCTCCTAGTCCTATCCCACAAAACCGACATAAGACGAGATATAGGACAAAAATCCTGTCTTGTCTTTGTTCCAGTCCCTGCTCACCAGAACAGGGCCAGGACGAGATTCTCCCGATCCCATCTCATAAACGCTCCTATTCACAGGTGATTTTATTATAATGTGTCGGGATATGAGCATGATTGGTGCTTTGAAGGATATGGAAAAGGATTTGGGATTTTACTTGGCATGCATGAACCGACGCGAGAGACATACAGACAATGAGTGGAGCTCATGAATCGCACCACACAACACGACAACCCCCCCGCTACTTGCTATGATTCACTTCACATTTCCCATTTACATTTCCATCTTGTTCAGAATCATCCTTATAAACACTTCCTCTATTCTATTTATTTTATAAGCTTTAATTTAAAACTTAACTAAATAATTGATGTTATTCCTAACTCTTTATTCTCTTTTTTTGGTTCACCATACCATCTCATCATACTTCTCCATCCATTTTTTTTTTTTTTCTTCTCATTTATTATAAAAAATTTTAAAAATAAAATTATATTTGTAATATATTTACTATTCTTACTAATTTTAACCAATTATCTACTTATTTATTATCTGTAAATTAGTTATTTAAAATGTATAACAAAAACAGAAAATACTTATAAACACATTTTCATGAAAATGGAAGCAAAACTTCCCCCCACGTACCTCATATTCCCATAAATCAGAGTCAAATAAGTTGTTTATAACATATTCTAAGCAGGTCCTACATTCATTCAACTTCATCCGTCATCAAACATGCATCCATCAACCACACGCACCTCCCTATACTTCTCCAATAAAAACTTACATATTTTTTTTAGGGGGAAAAAAACACCTTTATTCTCCAGTATTTACCATGCCCCTCCCCCTAGTTAAAGTCTTTCACCTACGCCAAAAACCAAAACGACCCAGACGCAGACACACACACAACCATAATCCTTAACCACCACCGTCCACAAAGGCTTTTGTTTCTACAGACAGTAAATTACATAAAGAGTCGCTTCGTCTAATCATGCCGTCGGTTAAATCCAACCATCGCCGCCACCATGGATGCTTCTTCACCACACCTTAATACAGCAGCTCGCTGTTTGGCATGTGATTCATCATGACGTCCTCCAGCATCCACAGGTCCACTGACTCCGCCCACTCCCCGCCATCGCAGCTCCCTCCGCCGCTCATCACCTGCTGCTGATCGCTCATCGTCTCTTCCTCCGGCTCCAGCCCCAGCAGGGACTCCAGGTCTGAGATGTGCTGCTTCAGCTCCAGATCCGACTGGTACGGCGTCGGCGGTCCACCCTGGTGGCTGCTGCTCTCCTCGCTCGACTGTGGGCTCAGGCAGCGCTTCTTGGCGGGTCTCTCCACTGCCGGGAAGTTGAGCTTGGCCTTGTCGCCGCGGATGCGCTTGGCGGCTTCGTCGTAGGCTCTGGCGGCTTCTTCGGCGGTGTTGTAGGTGCCGAGCCACACTCGGACGCCCTTGTGCGGGTCCCTTATCTCCGCGGCCCACTTGCCCCACGGCCTCTGCCTTATTCCTCTGTACACGTTCTTGCGTGTTCTCTGACCGGTGCTCTTCTTCCCGCCAGCTTTCTCTGCTTTCACGCTTTTCTTCTCCTTCTTCTCACACGCCCCTGTACACCACACGCTTCATTATTACTATATCCCTTACATTCCAGGAAAATTTTATTTTCTTGGCAGGTGTGGTGTTTCCCGGAAAATTTTGGCAGAAGTATTGCATGAATCCAAGACAAGTCTGATGTTTCAGAAGCTTGGATGCCTCAAAAATCAATAATTATTTCAAAACTAAGAATCCAGTCATAAACTTTTATCAGCATGCATGCATAACATAAATTGAAAGGATGAAGACTTCCAAGCTTCTTTTTTTTTTGGGTCACAGACATGGAAGACAACAATCTTCGTTTCCCTTTTGTTTTCCCTCTCTTCTTGCTAATTTTTTCAACAAACAGAAAAAAATGTGGACAAAACTTCTTCTCTAGTGTCAGATAATTCATCGCTTAAACTTTACTCCATTTCTTTTTCTTTTTTCTTTGGGGGAGCCAAGTGCTCCCTTTCTCATCTGACTCGTTGTATATGCACACTCTACCTAACCCCCACCAAACAAAATTATTGATTTTAATCAACAGGATTAACCAGATGATTGAAAATGGCCATGGCATAGCAACCCAGGCGAATTATTCCGATTCTAAGATCGAAGATACTAGTTATTATCAAATGGTATTACGATTAAGATGCTCTTAAACACTAATCGGCCTCCGAAAAAACAAAATCTACTCTTTCATAAACAGGACTTGATAAAGAAAATGTTCGTATAAACATTTTAAAAAAAAAATCTGGTTTTTGCAAACAAAATACGAAAACGTTACCATCAAACACCACGTAAGAAAATTAGAATCAAGGAAACAGACGGCCAGAGAAGAATATTGTACCTTTATTGAATGGGACCTGGGGGAGTTTCTGAGGCGGATGGTTTTTGGCAGAACCGGCGTGAGCATCGAAGCCAAGGAGGTCGGAGAAAGGGTCGAGCTCGGACCAAAGGTCGCCGGCGGTAAGTTTCCGGCCTCGCTTGACGGCAATGAAGTCGGAAATGATAGCACCTCCACACATGATGATCACAACAGAGAGAGAAAGAAACAAAGAGGAAGAAAAATCTCGATTCTGTCACTATAAACGAACAAGAAAGAGAGCGTTTCCCGAAACCCAAACTGAATGTGGGGGAGAGAAAATGAGAGGACGAAGATCAAAGAGGAGTCTGGGATTTATAGACCGACGTTGGGCTCACACTAAACGACAAGCTCCCTCCTGCTCAGAATCATGATTTCTCCCTTCGATAATCGCACGGTGCCGATTGAGTGAGATTCTCCGGGTGGCCGTTGGATCTCTGAAAAGATGGCTCTCGGATTGAGGCGAGGTTAGGGCCCACGTGGAGGCGTTTGGTTGGGAGGTGCAAATGACGACGGTGGGGTTGAGTGTAGGATTTTGCTAAGAATAACGCACGTCAAGTGTGCCCTCAAGTTGAGGGGCTCTCTTGAGGAATCCCGGCGAGTATCGCCCGGAAACACTTCGATTTTGGTATGACCCACTACAACTTTGCCCCTAGATGGCATCAGAATCACGATTTGAGCCTTGCCTCTATTTTTTATTTTATTTTAAATTATGGCAGTTTCTATTGGTTACTTGTGTAAATTAGATGCTTTCAGTTTTGATTAATGAAGGAGGAGTCAAAAAGTAATGCAAATCACATTATTTTTGCTTGAAGGGCATGCCCTTCACATTTTGACAGGACATAAATCTGATTCTGGTTGCTTATTATTAACTTGAAATCAGCTCATAAAAGTTAAGTTTTTAATAGTTTTGGATCTTCAATTTCACTTTTTCTTTGAACTTGAATATGCATATCTGTTTGGAGGATTTTGCTAATGGAATGCAGTCCGAAACAAGCTTAAAATGCCCACACCTGGCCCACAAAAAAAAAAAACAGAGAGAGAAAATAAATGTGTGATTTTGTTCTTTAATTAAAAGGCGGATCTAATTCAATAAAAGAGACATCTTTTTTTGAAAGGAGGAAAATCTAGTTCAAGAATTCAGTAAATGATCAGCAAATAATCATGTTTAAAAGTAAGGAGCTTAAGAATAAAGATTGAAAAGGGAAGGTCAAGATTATAAAACACGGTCAAATGACAAATTTTATCCTCCCTTCATTGCCCAAATGAATCTCATTTCTCAAGAAATATATGAAAAGTCATGCTAATTTTATGGACAAGGATCCCAAAACGGGCATTAAATCACGTTTAAAAGTAAAGAGCTTAACCAGATAACTGAAAAGGCAAGCTTAGGATTCCCAGGACATAAAAAAACTGTAAAATGCCAAACTTTATCCTCTGTTTATTATTTGAATATTGAACCTCATTTCTCAAGAAATGAATGAATGTAACTTAGGTGCATAGTCATAGACAATGTAATTTAAAAATAATAGTTAATGAATTTTATGGTATAAAACTTTTTTTTTTTTTGCCCGCGAACATTATAAAACCTTAACTATTACTACTATCAGATAGTGTTATAACCTTCCTTATATCCAAATTATACTAATGTGAATCTTTTTAATTTTATTTAAAGATAAAATTTTACATTTGTATAATAAATTTAATGAATGTGACTTATATTTAATAAATGGCACATTTATTGAAACATATAGGAAACTAATATTTAATTTTAAAATTGGTTATTCCTAACAGTCAAATGTCACACGCAGATATTTTGGTGATAATGGAAAATTATGATGTTGCGGCTCACGCCTTTGGATGGGCAAAAGGCGTGGCATGCCGTATCATTGAGGTACGTTCTACGTATACCCATCATGTATATACCACACGTACGTACATGTTGTACCAAACCGTAACAACATATCCCTTCTCCTTGAATAAAATTTGAATAACACTCCACACGGTGATGAAAAAGATAATGAAGAAATATAAAATAAAAAGGGTTTAGTATGATTTTTGTCCTTGAAATTTAAGCTCATTTTAATTTTAGTTTTTTAAATTTTAAACTCGTGATTTTAATTTCTAGAATTTAATTTGTTTTGAGACATTAGTATCTGAAAGTATAACAACGATAAAATTTGCTGAAGTGTCATAAACAACGCTAAAATCATTATATGGACTCATTAGATGGCACTAGCTGGATTTTGTGTGAGAATGATTAAACAGAGGGAATAAGTCCTCAAAAAAACGACGAGGAAAAAAGCAGACGAAATAGCTGCGTTTTAAAGACTTATTCTCTTTCTTTCTTTCTTTCTTATTTGTTATTTACATGAGAACTAATTAAGTGTCATTTGGTGAGTTCATATTATCATTTTAAAGTCGTTTATGATACCTCAACATATTTTACTTCAACAGATTTTAATATTATTATACTTTTAAGAACTAATGTTGTAAAACGGATAAAATTCTAAGAACTAAAACTACAGGTTTAGAATTTAATTTGATTGGCGAAAATTAAAATAAGCCTGGATTTTAGGAACAAAAAATTATATTAATCCATAAAAATGATAAATTTGTGCTGCCTTTCGAAATGCCCCCAAAATATATTTTAATAGCTTACTCACAACTGAATATGAAAATATAAAATTTAAAACAGGCCCTGCTCTGTACTGTTTGGGAAGAATAACACTTGTTCTTTGGGACCTATATAGTTATATATAAAAGAAGTTCCATCTACTTTAGGAAAGAAAATTGCAGAACCAAATAAACAACTTGGGGGATCATTGATGGCATCATTAGGCAACTTGTGAGTTCCTTACAGCAGAAGGATGACGAGTAAAGAAGCAAAAATGGCTATAAAACAAACAACTAGGGCCTCCCTATCCATCCAACTTTTTTAGGAAAAGATAATATCGTGAGTGGGTCAATAGCGATGGCGTTGACTTGGCATTCATAATTAATAAGTACTACCTCCTGTCCTAATTATAAGAGCTAGTTGACTAATTTGACGAGATTAAGAAAAGAAGTCAAATTAGTTATTTGTAATAAATAGATGTTGTCTTTCCTAAAATATCTTTACTAATCAAGTATATTGAGTAGAACTATCATTGTTAAAAGGACTGTCTTAAAAAAATGCATAAATATGAAAGATAAAGTGGATTGAGATCTTATATTTATGACTAAAATAAAAGTCAAATAAGGTCTTATATTAAGGACCGGAGATAGTAATTTTTATAGTTCAAAATCTTCAAATGCTTTTTTTTTAGCATACATATAAAACATATAATAAAAGTTTATAGAAAACAATATCAATTTTAAAAACTTGTGTTTTTTTATACAATTATTCCATATACTGAGTTTGAGTATTACTATTATACCTCATTTGAGGGAGATTAAGTTTTTCCCACCCAACTCATTTAGGTTATAACTCACTGAAATAAATAAATGAGAAGTCGGTTGCATCAAATTGAAATGAGGTCCCCTACGTTGCTTTGTTATGAGTTTCCTTTTAGCATTCCCTTCTTTCAATATTTCCAGCAGAGAGCATTTATTCTTATCCGTTTTGTGGTGATAAAAGTCAAGTGACAATTTAAAGACACAGTGCCATTTCAGTGATATTACTTTGTTTCCCTTAAATGTTGCTCAAGGAAGCCTCATATACAGTCATCTATTTAGCAGCTTTGTAATGCTCAGATACTAACCCTTTTATGTAGCCTCTTAGTTGGATTAGGAAATTAGAGGGCAGAGGAGATTTCTTCAGATTCAGGGTTAGAGGCGATAAAGACTAATCAAAATCTTTTTGTTTTCCGAAGCCAAACAAGAAAATATTAAAATTTCTCTTCTTTAATGAGCCAAACATACCCACCTCCCTCAAGTAGTTTTGATTAAAGTAAAAATAGCTTAGGATTTAAGGATGTGCATTAATCTCGTAAATTGAACTTACTGTAATATTGCAAGCATGTCACTGGCACACTATTTGATAGGATTGGAATTATGCCTCCCTTTCTTACCAATTTATGTCACAATACAAATACATATATCTTGAATGATATAAAGAAAAAAAAATAACATGAATAATTTTGGTTAAAAATTAAATATGAATACAATTGTGTAGTAGATGAGCAGGAAGAGGAGGATTTAAAGTCATAAAGTAGGAATATTAGAAGAAGGTGACACATTTTCCCCATAGAAGGGGTTTCCCGCTGGAATCAGCTATGAAGAATCTGTTATGGTCCCCGTTTCTGCCACCTCTGCTCGATCTCTTAGCTTTGGGATTTTCCATGTCTATCATTATCATCAAACTCAATTCCAATTCTCACTCCTTTTTCCCCTATTAGGGAAAAAAAAAAATAGTACTCCCCTGATTTTTAATATAGGACTCAATTATTGAGTTAATTTTGGTCCTAAATATAAGACTTATTTCTTATATTTATCAATTTTCTCTAAATTATCCATATAGATACTTCCTCAACCATAATCAAGTAGAAGAGAGAGATTGTGTATTAAAAAAGATAATTATGGTATTTTAGGAAAAACGTGTCATATTTTTTATAATTAACTAACTTACCTAACTTTCTTAATATAATCAAATTAGTTAAATGGGTCTTATATTAAGGATCGGAGGAGTATCTTATTCTAATAATCGGTGTTCTAAAATATATTTAATTTATCAATATTTGTCAAGAATCATTTCAGCTTTCCCTCGATATGAAAATTGATACATATAAGAATCTAAAATTTTCGAAACTAAAAACTAGAATATTTAATAATTATAATCTGGTAGGGAAACCATAATACCCCTCCGGTCCTTAATATAAGACCCAACTAATTTGATTACATTAAGAAAGTTAGGTAAGTTAGTTAATTATAAGAACAGTTACCCAATTTTTTTTAAAACACCATAATCATCTTTTTTAACACCCCCTTCTCTTTTAGTTGATTAAGGTTGAGGGAGTATCTATAGGGGTAATTTAGAAAAATTGATAAATATGAAAAATGGGTCTTATATTCGGGATTAAAATCAACTCAAGAATTGAGTTTTATATTAAAGACCGGAAGAGTAAAAGAACTCGAATTATATGTTTTTTTTCCCCCACAATTTCCATTAGTTGGAAAACCCTTGAAACCTTGAAGCATCTGGAAACTAAAAATAAAATCAACAGCATAGTTTCACGACTAGATTCATCCACACCCAACTACTACTCTGGAAATTCCCAGGTCTCATTTATCAACATGATTGATGCGTATAATTGGAGGAAACACATTGCAATTTCAAACTTTTACACGTAACATTTCTGTTTTTAATATAAAAACTAGTTAAGAGTTTGATTTACTTTTAGATATAGGCTAATTATCAACATGATTGATGCGCATTGTTAGAGGGAACACAGTGCCATCACAAGAATTTCACACATAATACCTCTTGTCTTTAATATAATAATTAGCTAAGAATTTAATTAAATTTTAAATACAAGTCATTTATCATTATGATTGATGTGAACAGTTGGAGTGAACACCTTGCCATCCTAAAGATTTCACGCATAATGCCTCTTGTTCTTAATACAATAAGGAATTAAGAGTTGAATTTGATACTAAATTTAAACCCTTTGTCAACATGATTGATACGTAGAGTGAACACATTGCCATTGCAAAGATTTCACACATAGTACCCCATTTCTTTAATATAAGAATTAGTTAAAAGTTGAATTTGATACTAAATATATAAGATTTCAATCCGCTTTGTCTTTTAGATTTATAACACATTTTTGAAAATATTCTTATTGATTAAAGATTTATTAAGGGAGTTTTCATCTAAAAATAATCATGATATATTTTAGAGAAATAAATTTATATTTATTACAAAAAACTAACTAAAGAAAGGAAGAGGTAGTACTCCATTAGTCCTTAATGTAAGACTTAATTAATTAATTTGAAAGGATTGGAATTATTAATTAAATTAGTTAATATGATATGATATTTTCAAAATACCCTAAGCATCTTTCTTAATTTTCTCCCTTCCTCTCTTACTTAATTATTGTTAATTATTGTTGTAGTAATATCAACAAAATTAATTTAGAAAAAAATGATAAATATATAAAATAAGTTTTATATATAGAATCAAAATTAACTCAAGGATACTACTTTAAGCACAGGAGGAGTATTACTTTATTTTACCATACCTAAATCACACCGTACGGTCATGTTAAGTGTGCGTATGATTTTACATAGGAAACCGGGAACCGCAGAGTTTTAGCACATGCAGGTGGTTTCTTGTAGCTACCATTCTAACATAAAACCAAAATCACTCTAAATATGAATTGATGACCCCCATTACACTTGAACCTTTGATTTACGAAACCTTCTATATTTGGTAGCACCAACAGATAAATTTCTAGCGAGCCTCTTTTCTGCAAATCTACAAGTTTTACCCGGCTAAGGACTAGGCATACGAGAAAAATGAAACCAAAGATTAATCCAGCACTGTCGAATGTTCTATATAGCACCAAGAGCATAGAAGAATCCCACAAGTTATTTATGTTCATAAAGAGCACGAAGTCCATATTTCATGCCAATGTATGTGGACAATCTGGAAACACGAAAGAAAGAGCGCGAAGCGGAAAAGAAGTATGTATTTCATAATCCAGTTCGAATCTTAGCTCAAGGGTATGCGGTAACCATAGCAATTGCAAGATATGTGCCAGAAACAAGGCAAAAAACTTACATGCAACATCATATGAAGGGGGGCAACAATCAGAACAGTGTATAACTTGAAATTAAATTTACCATCACCCCCAACCTATTGGGACTGAGGGGTTAGGGCAATGAAACTATGGGAATGAGACATGAATGAATTTCAGATTGGCCAAAAGAAAAAATCACTAATCAGCCATCTTATTCAATCGGTGAATGGTGCTTCTTGCAACCCTATTACTAGGATCAATCTTCAGAACAGTTCTCAGGTCTTCAGCACCAAGTTTGTACTTTTCCATACTCTCATATAAAAGAGCACGTTGTACGAGAACGGATACATTTGTTTCTTCAATCTCAAGCACCTGCAGAGCATAATGCAGATCAAAATACACTTCATAAAGATCTGTGATGGTAAAATACACTTCATAATAAAGCCCTAGCTATCTCTTTTGAGCCTTTTCAAACTTTCATTACTGAACATAGATAAAATCTAGAGCCTTCACTCCCTATCAACATCCGTCCTCGGATGAGGCAAAAGAAAGAGACATTTGGTTTAAATAGATTCAGTCACCACCAAGAAATTTCACCAACCCCTTTTTGTTCACCATTCGGTTATTGTCAACTTAATTTAACTAAAGCACAATATGGTAACGTTAGCTTATTCGTTTTCCAAGACAAAGGCAGCTTAATAAATCCAACAACACATCTTAACAAAACAAACATTGTCTAGCAGTCCAACAGCCCAAACAATTGTCTCCGAACTCGTGAATTTATCCTCGATATATAACATAAAAGTCATTGAAATTCCAAAATATACCTTCGTACAATCCGCTACTGCTTTTTTGTACTCCCCAACTTCTTTGAAACACGAGGCCCTGCATGACAAAACTTCCGTAGTGCCTGCATTATCACCTGATTTCTCAAGAAGGATGACAGCCCAGGAAAGCCACTTTATAGCATCAGCAAATTGTCCCTGCTTGTAATTGTCCAACCCCTTGGCTTTTGCTGCAGAACCAGATATACCAGCAGGAGGAGGGGGGAGTCCTTCAAGCTCAGTGGTTGTTCCACCCATATCATGGCCTCCCCCACCAAACTCAGAATCTAAGCCCCAGTCATCAACTTCTGAAGAAGGCTGTCCTCCAAATTCTTCAGAGGCCACAGGAGCACTTCCAGATGTGGCCGAGGAACTTGAGAAGAACATGTCCAATGGATCACTACCAGAAGTTTGCACAGGCTTCTGGCCCAAAGATGCGGATCCATTAAGATTGATACTATTTGCTGTTGAACTACTTGATGGGAATGCAGTAGAGCTCGGTTTGGAAGCACTCTGAAAATGTCCAAAACCATCATTCCCCGTGTCATTCTCTTTTGCTTTGCTCGCTGAATTAAGACTACCAGATTGTTTGGACCCAAAACCAGACAGAGAACTAAATGGATCTTTATTAGAACTCATTCCACTACCAGCCGCACCACCCCCAACACTCACACTGCGCAATGAAGGACCCCCAAGATTGGTGCTTTTATTGGAGCTCATAGTACTATTACTATTGTAGCCGCTGGAATAGCTCCCCGCCTTCCCAGAAGATCCCCAACTTCCATTGCTTTGAACTGTACTACTGGTTTTAGGCAAAGAATCCGCCATGTTCCCCATGGAAAACGAACTCTTGTTCGATGCAGTACTGGATGCCTTCGAAATAGGAGAAGCATTTTTCAGGGGAACATTGCCGCTACTCTTAGAACTCTGTCCTAAGGCAGAGCCCACCAAATCCCCAAAGAGATTAGGATCTTTATTAATAGTTCCGATACTCGAATTCGAAGCCGAAGGTTGAGTCGATCCCCAGCTCTTGCCGAAGATATCCCCAACCATTGAAACAGGCCCACCCGGCAAGCCGGACTGAGCCGCCAGACTGGGCGACGGCTGGTGAGTCCATGATGGTTTGCTTGGTTGCCAAGCGGGTCTTGGTTGAGTAGACGAAAATGTGGAGGAAGAAGTAAAATATGAATTGGACGGGGTATGGTTTTTCTGATCATTGAGAGATTTGGGTCGATTCGATCCGATCCCAAGATCAAAGTCGAAATTAAAGTTGTTCAGAGAGGCTGCAGAACCTTTCTGCTGGTTGGGTTTGCCAAAATTCGAATTCATTTCAGAAAACAAGTAAAAGAAAATTTGCAACCGATGACCGGGATCGGAAGAATAGAGGATCTACGTGTACCTGGACCAGGAAGATTCGTGATTGTAAATGGATTACCTTCAATGGCAAGTTCCTCTGCAAATCTCTCTCTCTCTTACAGGAAGGAGATCCAGGACAACGGGAGATGTATATTTATCGGCATGGACAGCGAAGCCGTAGGTATGATTTCAATTTTAGAATTTTTAGTGTCAAACAATAATTTGCCAATTTTTTTTTTTAAAACTTACGCATACAAAAATATCTTTATTATTTACGAAATAATTTTTTTTACCTATTTATCTCATACAATACAACACATAAATATGCTTCTTTTAAATTGATCCAAACTGATAGATAGTTGCCTGATTGAGGAATAACATTTGGTTTAATATATTCACAGGATCAGGAATTTAAGGACCAATTCATCCAAAGAGGCTAATTATAAAATGATTTTCCACCAGAGCTCATTATTAGATAATTTTTTTTTTTTACCAGAAGCTCATTATTAGATAATTAAACATTACGTCCATGTCCATTGTAATTTTATGCACATGAAGGTTTTTATATAATTGTTTGGAGCTACTAATATTAAGCGTTTATAAACATGTTCACCTAATGCAAAATAAAATTTCCTTCACATATTTATTTTATATTGCAAAAATTACGATTGGAAAATTATTTTTGCAAGATATTACCACCATTCCCAAACGTCTGCTTCCCTTGAGAAGCAGATGTCTCATTAAGATTATTGGGACGGTGTTAACAAGGCTACTAGTAAAAACTTTTAATCTAGCCTTGCCAAGTGACACGATACAGTATTCATTAAAGAGCACAATGTCCGTTACAAGTAAAAACTTACCAAGATGTTCCGTTATTACATCAGAGGGCAATTAGTAAAAACTAGAATCGTAAAGATGGCAATAGAACGAATTTGAAGAAAATAAGAAAAGTGTGAGGATGGCATTATCTATTTGCAGCAACCAACGCAGTACACAAATATAAGTGAAAGCCAAACATGTTCATCTGATGTTTTTAACTCGTATGTCATGTACCAATTTGTTATATGATGCTGCTCCAGCAGATAAGAGTACTATAGTAACTGTTAACTCTAGTTCTTCGAACTTCACTTAACAAATTGTAATGTGCATCAAAACTCTATGATCCGTTTGCTTGTGGCGTAGATTAATTCCATATGCAATTGCTGATTTTTAACATTGTCTTGACACAAATTCCAAACAAAACCAAGCTTTGATCCCACTTACTGTAGTGGGAATATCCTTTTTCCAAAATCTAATTTTGATACCACGTATTACTATCAAAAGTGTGCTTTTTGAAGATGCAAAATCTCCCATGGATACGCAACAGCTACAGGTCATCAAAAACTAAGGAGATAAAATAAAAGATATTAAACTAAGAAATTATTTATATGTTAGATTTCAATTATAGAAAGATCATACCTCGTAAAGCATCTCTTTTTGTATGTGTAAAATTATTTTAACATACTCATCCACACTTGAAAAACGTCTTGATTGGAATTAAAAAGAAAATGTCATGATAGTAATATAATCACAAATCCAGAGTCTCAAGAAAATTATGGACTATGGTGACATCTTTAATAACAGTGGAACCTAGATAAGCACATAAAGGTTCTCATGCTACGAATTATACTAGTCAGTTATCTCAATTGCATAATCAAAACAAAACTGATAAGCCTTTCTTTCCACATTTTGTCCTTGACGCAATATGCCAAAAACATACAATTTCTCCTTTATCATGCGCTGCCAAATATTGTCACTAGATAAATGTGAGCGAACTCAAACCTTGGATTCCTCGACTAACAAACTTGTTTCACATGTATATAAATTTCAAAAGCATTGCCTACTCAGGTATTGTTGACATTTTCTGGGTTTTCTCCACCTGAAGCTAAGTTTTGGCTATCCATTGGACTTGATTGCTGCATAGGTCCTCCCTGACGTTGGCTCAGATTCTGTAAATGAGCAGGCTCTCTCCTGTCAACCCGCATTGTTTCCCTGCGCCGATCATATCTTGGCCGAGGCCTATTCCTTGTTGTTTGCCTTTCACTATACCTATACTGTGGCCGAGGGATTACTTTCCCATCAATAAATAAATCACCTGGAATCCATCACATAGCCATCAATCACAACCCTCAATTTTTCATTTGAGAAAAGGGACGGGGAAGGGGTAAGCAAAAAATTGATCAATATCTTAGTTTCAGGCTCATGCGCTCACCTCCATAATCTTTGTTGGGAACATCAAGATATGAATCCGGCAACACCCAAAGAACGCCAGGTAATCCTACCAGGGCAGGGGGCAAAAAACAAAAAACACAACAATCAAGCATCACTATCAATATTGAGGCGCAGTTCCTCTGGCGTTTGTTATAACATTCCTCAATTCAACAACCTAGAGAAATGAACTTCAGAATTTTTTTTTTAATACAGCCAAATAATCCGAGATGACATGCATATAAACACGCTGTAAATAGCCCCAAAGCCACAATAAAGTTTTATCATATGAAAGTTGATAGCCGCTGATATGATCACAGTGATGAAATGGATTTATGTCAATAATGAAACCAGAATTCCAAAATTTCAATAAACAACCCTAGGAATTAAAGTTTTGGTAATTTTATAATCCAATGAAGCAGCCACTCTAAAACCTTAATCACTCAGCTGGCTAGTCAAGCAGCCATAAGCACCAGCCAAAATAAAGGACAGAGAGGAAAGAGCTTCAGTTTTTATATACCAAAGACAAACGATTACCTTTGACCTTGTAAGAAAGCTCTTCGGAAATCAGGGCACCGAAACCAGTATACGTGGCAGTAGAAACAGAGTATATTTTCTTTTTGGCCTCCTCCTCACTGTACCAAACAAAACAAGTTCTTATGAGAAGAAAAGCCCCCAGAGTGAGGTACAATTAGAAATTTAGAATAAGAAAAAAGAATTTGTTTACCTTCCCACGACTTGGGCTAGGGTTTTCACATACGCGTTGATCATTTCCTCCTCAGTGGGTTTGGGGTCCTCGGGAAACTCCATGACAATAAGCCAGTGCTCGTAGTCGCAGCCATCGAGAAGAATCGTCTCCTTAGGAGGGCGGTTGCTCCAGTTCGGCGACGGGTCGTTCAGAGGCGAGTAACCCGACCCCGAAGATTTGGATCGATTTGGAACCAGTAATGCTTGTTTGGAGGCGAGCAAGGTCAGTGCAAAACGAGAACGAGAAGCGGTGGCAGAAAAAGAGGAAGTAACAGAGAGAGCTCGCGCGAGGGAAGATGCCAAAATGCGCCGGCCAAACTGCGCCATTCGTTACCGAAGGATCGCCGACCAGTGAGCACTGTCAGAGCTATGAAATTTGTACTAGTCCTTTTGAGTTCAGGCTTCGAAGTCAATATAGAAGGAACGGCGTCGTTTTATTTGGGCACAGGAGGGTAAAACGTAAATTTGGGGCCAGAAATTAACCCAGTTTCAATTTTGTTGTTTTCTTTCAATATCTTGTTTGCTTTCTCGATCTGGTTTTCTACAAATGTTTCTCAATTTTGTATAGATTAAATGTTTAATTCAATTTGATCGCTTACAACATAAATTTGTTGTGAATATTTCTACCTCAGTCCTAAATACCAGACTAGTTAACTAATTTGAGTAGATTAAAAAAATAAGTTAAATTAGTTATTTGTAATAAATAGGTATTGTCTTTTTTAAAATATCCTTACTAATCAAGTTTATTGGCTACAACTATCATTAATAGAACGACAATCTTGAAAAAAAAAAGGATAAAGGGGTCTTATATTTATGACCAAAATATAAATCAAACGATGTCTTATATTAAGAATCAGGGGTAGTACCTTTTTATTATTTTACTCTTTTGGTCAGTTTTATTGTAAAGGTAAATGAAAGTAACAGTAAATTGATTGAAAGACAATATTAACAATCTTTTAATAAGTCAATTAAATATATTTTACTGATTTATTTACTGTTACTTTCTCTTAATTTATTGTCATCGTTAATATGAATTTACTGATAAGAGAATAAATTGATAGTTGGCAAAAAGAAAAGAATAAATTGATAAGACCATAGAATACAAAAATAAGTTAAAATTATCAGTTGGAGTGGATAATCTAATCTTTTTCATGTGATGTCTCCTATGAGTTTAATTTAGAAATCACAATAAAGTTTTGAAGAGCTTTGGCATTTTGTTTGATGAAATATAGTCTCGAGGCATAGTTAATAATTTTATATTTTATATTTCATACTGATTGATACACACACATATAGATAGATCTAGATAAGGGAGCTTTACTAATTTATTGAAACTGAATTCTATCTTTTCTTAACACTCTATAAATTTACTTGGTTGAATTTGTTCCAACAGGAGAGCTCCCACTCTAATAGGACAAATGGACAAGTACAAGAGTTTGGTACCATCTTCTCTTCTAATTCTCAAGGGTCTAGCTTCCAAGTAAACAGAGACAACTGATGCAGGTCGGCCTATCTAGAAAACGAAGACTGAAAAATTTAATGCAAAATAAAGAACAGAAGGGATCGATATTGAACAAGAACTGCTCCATGCCACTCAAGTTTCAGCATGCAAGTCCTAAAAATAATGTTACCCAGAAAACTACCATGCCCCTCATAATTAAGAACTAAGAACTTATAAACCATCAATACCGCCTCTTGTAACAAAGTTGTACGTTTCAGATTCTTCTGCTACTGTGGAATGCAGACTGATGTCAACGACCTGCACACTTTCACAAGGGACATCCGAGCTGCATAGCAAACTTACTGCAAACTTGGACCTGTATGTTCCACTGATGTTCTTGAACTTCATATCCCCCAGCTTCGCTCGGGATGGCTGTAACTCGAGAAAAAACGATCAATCATTAACAAAAGGGCCAAAAAGAAACAGCCTTTTTATTTTCTGTGTATGCTTCTTCAGTTCTTAATTTCTTACCTTCATAGTCTTGTAGGTGTTGGAAGGGCAGTACTCTTGGTCTGCTATAATGGGGTTTGAGACATTAATCATGGCTATGTCCTCAAACACTAAATTTGAACCCTGACCTTGTGGAGCCCCTGGCCAGGTTTTTACTCTCACACCGTTCTGAGTACCATTGATCGTACAGTTTGAAACATGAACGCCATCAACATCCTTCTCATCTGAGTATTTGCCCAGGCTTCCCACACTGTGCCAAAAACAGTAAATTGAACTTGTCATTCACGTCAACTCAAAATACTTTTAGATGTTTTGTATTGGGTCAAACATCGACATGGTAGAAATAAGAATTATAACCTGATTCCATGGCCTGGACCGCAATGCACAAATGAGACAGATATGGTGGTGGTGCCTTGTCCAATGGAGACAGTCATCTCCAACTCCTATTATTGGGGAGGTAATGCCGATGTAGGAGGAGAGACTTATGTTAATCCCATCTGTGGTTGGGCTATCAGAAGGTGCTTTGATGTTTAACTTTGACACGTTCATGTTATCACACTTGTAGATCACAACATGGAAGTGGAGGGAATTGAAAGACGACGCGCAGCGGAAATCAACTTAAAAATTTTAAAACTTTCAATCCCTTGCCCGGATCTACCGATCGCGTTTAAATCAGGTAATAAGAAGCATTACCTTCGGTGTTCGATTTCCTGGTGGCTCGGTGATTCCGCCGTTCAGGATGCCTCTGCTTGCCTCCTTTGTCGTTCGAAGTCGACAACTCCGGTTGGCTTCCTCTACCGGTATCCACACGAATAGCTCTCCAATCACAAACGGCGTGCTAGCGCCCTTTTGTCCGTCTAGGTTTTTCAGAGAATCCGTCCACTCTTATCTCTCTTAGGCCGTCTCTTATCTGCTGGTGCTCTCACGCTTAAAACCCTAGCTCCTCATATCAAATATATAGGATGCTAATGCTATAGGTTTAATGAATGATATTTAATTTTCGAAATTAGTCCTAAATTAATTCCGAAATTAATACAATATCAAATATTGCCTAATCAGATAAGAGAACAATTAAATAAGTATGATTTATATTAAATCCGCCTCACATATTTAATTCTCCTATTTATTTAATTCAAAATAAAGATATGACGGAATTAATTTATATAGATTTAATTTATCCTTATAAATTAAATCTAACAATTAATATCTCTTATATTTATATAATATGTATATATATACGAATATATATATATACACACACACGTCCATCCTATATTATTCATTGAATCTAGACATATCTTAGATTCAATGAATCTGGACATCATAACTCGTGTTGGGCTATTTTGTGTGCGACCCTGTAGGCCCATATGAAGTTGGCAGTGGGCCATTAACTATAATGACTCACAAGTCGTAAGCGGTCTCTAGCAAGACATCACGACTACCCAAATCATATGAGGATCGTTGAATGATGTAACCTTTCATACAACCATATCGCGTCCCTTTTGTCACATGACATTTTGGTCATGGATGAGGCATGGAGAACGTCATCCTCCTATTCATGACCGTTACTTTCTCGATCCCTGAGTAGTTTGGGTATAGAAACGGAACTACCTTTCCATTATAGTATGGCCATACATTTCTCAGACTCACTTATCGAGGGGCCCAGTAATGTCTCTCTACGAATGTGAGGGACAAATTCCATCTTGACCATTCACATTCCTCCGCATGAAAAACCACTAAACCTGAACATAGTCTTTATGATCACTCGGTCAAAAGTGACTTTTGACTAGGTCAAAGCTAAACGTTTCTCATGTAGGAATCCATGATGATCTCAGGTCAAAGGGCACAGTGACATGGTTTGTATATGAGAGAAGCTTATGACTTAACTCATGCAGCTCTCTCATAGCGGGTCGGTCCAACACCTTGTACTCTTACATGTGCCTATGACTTTAATTTATATCTCTATATATCTTTAAAGTCATACTGGTCTTATTTCATCTCTGCTCCCACATAGATAACCGACCAGGGACATTTAGGATAAACCATGAGTTATCCAAGGATAGTCATCACAGTAAACATGCAAATAATATGATAACGTAATTAATAAATTCATAAATTAACAATATTCATAGCAATATGATTTGCCCCTAGGGCACAATTTCTAACAGGAAGAACTTGCTATTCAACAAACTTATGCTGCTCTGTGTTCCATGGGAAACATTCATGAATTTCAGACTCTGCAGAGACCAAAATTGTTTAATTAGCGTGAAAGCATTCGGTATAAACATTTGCAAGAACATGAAACAGATGAGAGAATGATGTTTGGAGCTCACACTAGGGCGAGTGGGGCAATTCTTGTGCTGTGGCAAGCATTGTTGGACCATGACTCAGCACCTTGGCCATCCAAATTTGCCATAGTATTGATTCCAGTAAGGTCGAGGCCATTCAATCCTCTGAGCACAATCCAATCAGAAGAACGGAAGGCATGGGGGCTGCTTGGAGCCTTTAAAGTCCCAGCGATCTTTATCTTTAGGGACTGATTGTTGTGGCAGGGCCCCGAAAATGAGACTCGACCAACCAAGAATGTTCCTTCTGGAATTAACAACACTGCGTTTCCTCCAGGCTGCTACGAACGCCTATTATTTGTATAAAGAATCTTCAGTCAATATAAATATAAAATACTAGTATAAAATCTATGGCTGTAAATTGTATGATTCTTTCCTCACATTTTGTTTGAAGTGATATACTTTTGTCACTTAGATGAATGGATGTAAATGGCAGAGCTCTTCAACAAATAACTGCAAATTACATAGAAACCTTTTATACTTCAGATCACGTATAAAATAATCTTAAATAAGACATTGGAGCATGTGTCACCTGCTGTATATGTGCAAAATAATGAAGACAAGCTGAACATGTAGCCCTAATTTATCATTTTAGAATATCAATACATTGGGCCAGAGCCTAAAACTATAAGGCTGGACTCTTTAACAAAAATCAGTCCTTTGAATTTTCTAATTTGTAAATAGAACTCACTAACATAACATTAATTAATCTATTGCTTTACTGGTGTTAATATGACACCTTAGAGATTTTTTGAGTTATTTTTCTCAAAATTTCAATTGGAAAATTTTTTGGTCAAACCTCTTTCTAGTAGATTAAGTAATGAAACCTGAACTCAACTCATGTCCAACCTTACAGATACAAGACAGTAACTTACAAAGCTACTTTCTTTCTTCCCATTAGAATCTGCTCCGTAATCCGTAACATCATAATATCTCATAGTTCTTGAATTCTAGCAGGCGATTCATCCCCAGGTTCAGGAACTGGAGCCATAGCCGCACCGATTTGGAAAGTGGCCATATATGCTGCTGCTACTATTATACTTGTGCTTAATGCCATCATTTGCATTTTTAGGAGATTCCCTTGAACTATGATTTGTCAGATCTTATATGAGTTTAGCTCGAGAATAGCACCAACTCTTTATCTTTTGATATTTGAGTTTCTTGAACTAAGGCAATTAATCTTGTTAATCTATATTAATTCTTGAACGCCTACCTATCTTCATGGGTGGAGTTTCTTTATAGTTGTAACTGCTTAACTTGCATTCATGAGTTTATTTTTATTTTTCATTTTTGGCCAAAAGACTTTATTTTCAATATCATAAATTTCATTTACTATCGTGTGATCTGTTATGTGCAATGTGATTCAATTGTTCCCTCATTGCTTAGCTATATTACCGTTTAAGAATAGAAAACGAGAAAGATAACACTTGCACTTGCATGTCATTTCGATACATGACCAAGAGGATCACCCAACTTGCTTTAAACATAGGAGGAATTTTTTTTTTCAATTTTAAAATACTGCAAGAACTGATATTTTAGTTTTAGCACGATACAAAAGTGTTTAATTATATCCAATTCATATTTGTTAGTTCACACTATCGGATATAAGAAGTCTGACGTCTTTAATACCACTTTTAGCTTAATTAGGGCATATTATGTCATAAATAGGGATGTTTGCCACTTGAAGAGGGGTATTCAACAAAACTTTTTCCCCTCCATGGCTTAACAAGTAGACAATGAAACATTAGCTTCCCATATGAAACTGACTGCTATATATCGAACTAAAATGCGTTGAAAAAAGAACAATTTCACCTGACATAACCGCTTTATCTGACCAAATAAATGTAACGTACATGAAACTGTAATAGAAGCAAAATAGTTTTTAAGCGAATAAAGATGCCATAGGAAGAGAGTTGTTCATGTATATACATGAATTGGTTAACTGCAACAAATGAGATATTCAATAATTACTTTGTCACGCCTTCTTCAATTTTTGATGTTACGGTCGTAGCATATTTAGATTTGTACGCAAACGATACGGAACATTACCAAACCTCGTCCTCTGAAGCCTTAAACAGCAGTTGCCTTATAAAATATGCTTTGAAGTTAGTTATTTGAAATTCTGCGTTAACTACAAAGTAAATGAACTTAGCTACTAGAGTTTATCATTATAATCATAAACAGAATCCAAAACTATCCCTAAAACCCGGCAAAAAACGGCGATACAACTAATCAAAAGAATGGGACATTTTCCCCATTTAATTATAGAGAATCGATGAATTTTTGGGATAGGCATTATTCTACTGGAGTAGCTACAAGAATAAGCTTCCACATTAACCCCCTAATCTATCTCTCACTCCCTACCTCTCTATATGATTGGAAAAAAAGAAAAGAAAAGAAAAATAGGCCTAATTAAGAACAAGGCAATGGAGTATTTATGCCGAAATAGGAGGGTTTGACACTAGCACATCTACTGGTAACAGGTTTGCCTCCTATCTTGAGGTCAACGTCTGTAAGTACAACGTTTTTGCATGGGTACAGTTGGCTGCACCTTAAGTCCACTCCAATTTGTGACAATGAAGTTCCCCTGATATTTGAAAAATGTATGTTGCTCAGCTTCACCAATGATGGCTGTCCAATCAAACATAAACACGTCACCTTCATACTTGATCAAGAAGGTAAGAATTATGTGATGATATATATATTACAATGTGTTATGAGTCTCACGTTGGGGACTTTCAAAAGTGTTGTGGGGTTTATAAATTCAAGGGACTTTCCCTCCTAATAGGCTAGTCTTTTGAAATAGGCTCTTTTTTTGGGTCTATGCTCATCACATAATGCTAAAACTATTCATTGTGGTAAGTAAAGTGAAACTCCAAGGGAACTATATTACCTTGGCTTTGCAGTTGTTAGGATCACACTGGTACTGTTCATCAATCACAATGGGGTTTTGAACATTGTCCATGATAATGTCGGAGAAGAATATAGACGAAGCTGCTCCAGGAAACTTATCTGGCCATGCTTTGAGTCTTAGACCATTGGTTGTGCCCACCAAAGTGCTGTTCCATACTTGAATGTTTCTTACCTCCCCCTCGTTTGCATAATGTCCAAGGCTACCAATACTGTGAAGGCAATTGGAAACAAACACAATCCATTAACTTGTGCTTTTGAAAGAATTCAGTAACAGGTTATCGAAATATTACCTCCAGTCTTTAATATAAGATCAACAAGAGGTTATGCTAAGGACTAGAGGTAGTAGCATATTAATTACCTAATGCCATGTCCGGGGCCGCAGGTGAGATTGTTGATGGCAACATGCTCAACTCCTTGAATGATAGAAACACAGTCATCTCCAACTCCTATTGTTGAGGAGGTGATGTTGATGTAAGAGGAGTGACTAATGTGAATTCCATCGGTGTTTGGGCTATCAGAAGGTGCTGTGATGTTTACATTTGACACTTTCATGTTGTCACACTTGTAGATCACTACATGGAAGAACTTGCTATTTACCAAACTTATGTGGTTCACTGTCCCATTTGAAACCTTAACGAAATTTAAACTCTGCAGAGTCAAAAATTGTTCAGTTAGTGTGAAAATATACAGTATAAACATTTGAAAGAACATGAAGCACATGAACGAATGATGTTTGGAGCTCACCCTAGGGCGACTGGGGCAATTCTTGTGCTTGTGGCAAGCATTGTTGGACCATGACTCAGCACCTTGGCCATCCAACATTGCCATACTATTGATTCCAGTAAGGTTGAGGCCAATCAAATCTCTGAACACAATCCAATAAGAAGAAAGGAAGGCAGGGGAGCTTCTTGGAGCCTTTAGAGTCCCAGCGATCTCTATCTTTGGAGACTGATTGTTGTGGCAGGGCCCTGAAAATGAGACTGGACCAACCAAGAATGTTCCTTCTGGAATTAACAACACTGAGTTTCCCGCAGCAGAGCATGCATCCCTCCAAGCTGCTAAGAATGCCTATTATATGTATAAAGAATCTTCAGCCAATATGAGTATAAAATATAAAATCTATAGCTGTGACAAGTGCGATTCTTTCCTCACATTTCGTCCACCAGGTGAAAGAGTTAATTTGTTTATGTATCTTTGCTTGAGAAGTGATTTACTTTGTTATTTAGATGAAAGAATGTAAATGACAGAACTCTATTACAGTAAGTTCAAATAACACAGAATCCTTTTATACTTCAGATCACGTGTAAATAATCCAGTGACCATGAAAATTTGACAACTAAAGAGGCATAGAAACCTAAACCAGCATAAAATAGTGAAAATACCTACGGCATAGTTGAAAGGTGATTATAATGCAGCTTATAAAGACAAAGAAGAGTATGTGTCACGTGCTGTGCATGTGCAAAATAACGAAGACAAGCTGCGCAGATAGCCCCTAATATATACATCATCTTAGAATACCAAGACATTGGATTAGACTCTTTACTCTAACAACAACCTATTCTTTCAATTTTCTAATCTGTAAATATAACTCACTAACATTAATTAATCTATCTTACTGGTGTTAATGTGACACTTTAAGAGATTTTTCTGACCTAGTTTTCTTCAAATTCCAATTGGACTTTTTTTGGTCAAACCTCTTTCCAATGGAATAAGTAATGAAACCTGAACTCATGTCCAGCCTTACAGATGCAAGAGAAGAACTTACAGAACTACTTTCTGTCTCCCCATCAGAATCTGCTCCGTAACTTGTAACATCATAATATCTCTCAGCACTTGAATTCTGGGCAAGTGATTCATCCATAGGTTCAGGAACTGGAGCCATGGCTGCACCAATACGAAAAGTGGCCATATATGCCGTTACTACTGTTATGCTTAATGCCATTATCTGCATTTTTAGCAGAGTCCCTTAAACTATGACTTGTTAGATCTTATTTGAGTTTAGCACTCTGGCTCAAGAATAGCATCGACTCCTTATCTTGTGATATTTAATCTTCAGTTTCTTGAACTAAGGGAATTAATCTTGTTAATCTATATTAATTCCTGAACACTTACCTATCTTCCTGGGTGGAGTTTCATTCTAATTGTAACAGTGTAGCTAGCATTTATGAGTTTATTTTCAATGGCATGGAGTTCCTCCACTATCCTATAGCCTGTTGAATTTTATGCAATGTAATTCCATTGTTACCTCATTACTAAGCAGTGTTACCTCTCAAGGATAGAAAGCAAGAAAGATGACATTTGCATGTAATTTCAATACACGACCAGCAGAATCACCCAACTTTCTTCAAATCTTCGTAGAATTCTTTTTATTTTAAAAATAATGTGAGAACTGACTTTTAATTTTAGCACGATCTAAAAATATTTGATTATAATCAATTCATATTTCTATGTTCACACTTTCAGATATGAGAAACCTGAAGTCTTTCATACCACATTTAACTTAATTAAGACATATTGTGTCATAAATAGGTATGTTTCCCATTTGAAGAGGGTTATCCAATAAAATGCATTTGAAAAAGAACAAATTCATCTTACATAACCGTCTCTGACCAAATAAATACAACATACATGAAACTGTAATGGATTTTTAAGCAAATTAAAACGCCATAGGAAGGGAGACTTAATACAATTATTAATTTGTCGGGTCTTCTTCAATATTTGAATTTACGGTCGTCTCACCAACATAGTATACTTAGATCTGTACGCAAACAATATGTAACAACACCAGACCTCATCCTCTGAAGCCTTAAACAGCATTTGCCTTCCAATATATACTTTGTAGTTATTTTAAATTTTGTGTTAACTACAAAGGGTATATGAACTTAGCTACTCAATTTAGTTTTTCTTACTTGGTTTTAGGGGAGTTTATTAATATAATTGTTAACAAAACCCAAAACTATCCCTAAAACCTTTAAAAAGAAAGTCGATACCATATTAATCAAAAGAATAGGACATTTTCCCCATTTCATTATATAGAATCAATAAATCTTTGAGATAGGCATTATGTGTACTGGTGCAGCTACAAGAATAAGCTCCCACATTGACCCTCCAATCTGTCCCTCATTCCCTTCCTCTCTATGATATAAAAAAGGAAAATTGGCCTAATTAAGGACAAGGCAATGGGGTATTTATGCCGACATAGGTGGGTTTGGCACTGACACATCTGCTGGTAACAGGTTTGCCTCCCATCTTCAGGTCAACGTTAGAAAGTACAACGTTTTGGCATGGGTACAGTTGGCTGCACCTTAAGTCCACTCCAATTGGTGACGACGAAGTTCCCTTTATATTTGAAAAATGTATGTTGCTCAGCTTCACCAATGATGGCTGTACAATCAAACATAAACACCAGATTTTATTAGCATGCTAGAACTGCATATTAATTAGAAAAATTTAGAATGCTAGGACTATTCATTGTGGTAAGGAAAGTGAAAATATTACCTTGGCTTTGCACTTGTCAGGATCACATTGGTACTGTTCATCAATGATAATGGGGTTTTGAACATTGTTCATGGTAATGCCAGAGAAGAAAATAGACGAAGCTGCTCCAGGAAACTTATCTGGCCATGCTTTGAGTCTTAAACCATTGGTTGTGCCCACCAAAGTGCTATCCCGCACTTGAATATTGCTCACCTCCAACTCATCTTCATACTTTCCAAGGCTACCAATACTGTAAAGAAAATCAGAAAACAAACACAATCCATTAATTTCTGCTCTTGAAATAGTTCAGTAATGGGCTATTGAAATATCATATTAATTACCTAATGCCATGTCCAGGGCCACAGGTGAGTCTGTTAATGGCAACGTTTTTGACTCCTTGAATGATAGAAACACAGTCATCTCCTGTTCCAATGGTATTCCTGGAGGCAATGATATTGATGGAGTGGCTTATGTGAATGCCGTCGGTGTTGGGGCTATCAGCTGGTGCAGTTATCTTCACTTTTCGTACTCTGATGTTTGCAGAGTTTGTGAGGAAGATGTGAAAGCCTTTGGAGTTCAACGATTTGATGTTCTGTATCAGTCCATTGGTCACGTTGTTGAAGAATATGCTCTGCAATATCAAATATCAAATCTATGTCAAGTCAAAGTACTATTTGATAAAACCATGAACAGAATATTTAGTATGAAGTGAACCTACGCTTGGGAGTCTGACGCATGTGCTGCCGGGGTTTTTGTCGCAGTCGACGTTGAATTCCCAGAATGACTTGCCCTGACCGTCGAAAGTACCGCCACCGATGAGTTTGATGCCAACAATGTTCTCGAACATGAGCCATTCGCCATTCTCGTACACAGAAGGGTCTGTGGAAGCCAAAACAGTTCCTTCAACTTGAACTGTGATACCTCCCGGAGTTGTGCATGGCCCTTGAAAGTACATTGAGTCAACCAAAAATGAGCCTGCCGGCACGTACATCCTCGCCGGCGTGGTGGATTTGCAGGCTGCTTGCCATGCTTGCATGAAACCCTGCATTAATATTATTAATAATAATCAATATCAATATCCACAAGAATTTTTCTTTCAGTTAGATGATCTCACCCGATATTTTACACCCATTTACTTATTGATGAATAAGCTATAAGCTCAATATTTAATTGATTAATGAATCATATACCTGAGTGCTGTCACTTTTGCCATCAGGTTTGGCTCCAAAACTCACCACGTTGATAATTTTCTCACCAGGAGCAAGTTTGTCCTTGGCTAAATTCATACCCTTGAACATATCAGGCCCAGCAACTGGTATTTTCCTTTTATGGTCACCATCACCATCCTCACAACACACCAAAGTGATGCACAATGCAAGAACGATTGTTCTGATTCTTGCATTGTCCATTGCACCTCCTCAAGCCCCTTTTGATGTGATTAATATGAATGGAAAGATGTACCTTCTTCTCTATGTATATGTCTGTTTAAGGCTCGTCGTAGCCTCCTTGGGGGGGAGGCTAGGACTTGAAATGGGGAAAATAGTCCCTTTACGTACCCTCTGGGGAGGTTTTCATGAAAAATAATGAGGGAAGTGACCCCTCTTTGCTTTTCCTGTTTGATTTATACCCTATCCTTTTGGAGGATGACACTAACCACTGATTCTATTTTTGGGTTTCTGATATAGTGGAGCATGTTTTAGATTTCGTGGATATTAAATGGGATAATCTAAAATTAGTGATGGTTCCTAGTTTGCATTCATCGTACCGCATAACTTGGGCTATTGTTGCTCCCACAACCTCTCATTAACAGACATATTCCCAAAAACAGAGTTTCATTCATAATATAAATATGAACGGTTTTTTTCTAACAAGCGAAAATTAGTTCACTTTGTGGGTTAAAATTTCATTAAAACGTGGAGATTTTTTTAATGAGTAATTTGCGTGTTACTTCATAAATTTTGTCTTAAGTTTTATCTTGACATAGGTGGGTAGGAAATTCAACTTACCTAATTTTATGCTCCCCAAAAGAAAGTACTTTTTGTCACCTCAATTGATGTGGAAAATATGCTGTCACCACGAGCGATGAGATATTCTTTCAGTGGCCAACCGAACCAGATAAAAATTCAATCTAATTTTACCTGTCTTGTCTCATTTACATCCAATCTCTTTGAAAAATTCTGATTCTATATCCTTTAACCTGTTGCTGTCTGTGTGTCATGCTTTGGCTATTGCAGAGAGCCTGGGATTCATACTCCAGTGATTACTGGATTCAATCTTTGCTATGACAGTAATGATTTTTACAACAATAACTATATTTTATTGAGAAGAGTCGGCCACATAATTTGCATGGCTAATAATTTTTATCGAAGTAAAAAATTTACACCCTTTATTATATGACAAGAGTTTAGAGACATGTCCTTTAATAAATGAGGGCAAAGTCCAGTGATTTTTAACCAAAACAGAATTAAGTTTATTCGGCACATAAATTGTAGGGGCTCAAAGATCTCAGGATTTGCACGATTTAGATCAATCAGCTAATAGGTGTCAATGAATAATTATGCTTCACAACTTCTTTTTAAAGGTAAATTCTTGACCCATGAGGAGTCCCAATTAATCCCAACTGGTTGCTTATTCAAAGTTCAACGTAAATCTCATCAGAGAAGCAGTAAAGATTATAAGAACAAAGCTGGCTGATACGCATACAGATCTTAGTTATAACAACAACTTCGCTGTGTACATAACTTGAAGAGGAAGAAGACACCCTGTGTGCTTGGACCTATCAGTAAAGCCTCGAGCTAATTCATGATTAATACATATAAATATATATATATGTATAGTACAGCTAGTCATCTGCAAAAAGCCTTAAGCCATGCAAAAGGGGGTAGGGGGGAAAAAGATCTAGTCTATGGTTATTGACTATACCTAAAACTAACTAGTTTGAGACAAAAAGTTGAAACTTTGGTAGTGGATGATCAGACTGATGAGTACTAACCCACCAAACCTGTGTGGTTCATCTCCGTTCTGCAATCTGGTTTGAAGGACCTTGAAGCAGCTTCGTTGCATTTTATCAGAGGATCATCTGCTTTCAACTGAACAACTGTAGTGGCAGTCATGTAAGTTGGATAAAACTTGTACTGGCACAGATTTTGAGTAGCTTGTTGGTTGCCAAGACTCTTCTGGCGACCAAACATCTTGCCAAGATCTACCTGAGGTGCCATTAATTAGCTTCTTTTCTGAAACAAAACACACACAGTAAATGTCACCAACGTACGGAAGTAAGAGGAGTGGTGCTTTCGCTTTGAGTACAGGAGTTGCGAGTCCATGGCCATTTTATAGAGGTCCACACTGAAATGCTCAGATACAGTAACATCCCTTATTGTGGGACCTTACTTACTGTAGATTTTGCAGTATTATTGCTGAGAATATGCGAAGGCACGAGGCTCACCGCAATTATGCGATTGATTTCTAGATGGGGTATTGAGTTTTGGAGTTGATGATATTATTGAAACTGATGAGAAACAATTTTCTACCTAACAAGTTAATGAGGTCTTTCTAGAGAACGTTCAAGGCTAAAACGGATAAGTTCCATTTCATGAGTCAGATTTGCATATTGTGAAAAAGTAATTACAGAATCATAAGGAGAGGTGTCAAATCGTGGGTCAAGTGAGGGAATAGTGATGATGATAATGATGCTAATAAAATAAAATTTGAAATTCTTGGAGGATGTGGCGTTCATTTAGCTTTGTATCTGCCTTTTTTTTTTTTTTTCCTTCTCTTTATTTTCGAAGAGATTCGAAATCATAAGAATGGAGGAATAGTTGATAACTAGGACCTAAAGAGACAGTGGACCTCGTCATCAAGTGGCTCTTCGAATATAGGGATTTTTCCATTGTGTAATTCTCACAATATAGTTTCAGTAGATTTTTTTTTGGATGTTTTGAAAATTAACATAAAATGAACAAATATTTATTTAATTTTTATAAACATCATACGGAAGTTTTCTTTTTTAAAAGAAGAAGAAGAAAATAACTACTTGCGTGTTCCGCAAGCTACATGCCGAAAGCAAGTTAAAGAAATTCTCTCCTATGGTCACATGGATAAGCTTGAGAGTTGAGACCAAGGTTTTGAAAATCTTGAGACAACAGTTTAAATGAAAAAAAAATTAATTCATGATTAAATAGAAAATTTATGTATGAACTACATGTAATTCAACCAAACAGAGTTATTAAAATACAGATTTGATGAACTGATCATTTCATATTAATGAGAAGAGAAAAAATATAAAATTCAATATGACTGAAAATTCTTCACCAAAGCAATCAACTCAAGTTCAATTTTAGTACTTTGGTTGAGGAAAAATCAACAAGAATATTTTCTTTTCGAATTAAGTACCAAAAAAATCGAGACGATGAAAATTAAAGAAATGCCAATATCATTATCAAAAAGAATTTGCAAGCTAGTCAACAAATCAATTATATTGTTTATGGGCATGGGTGAAAAATCTTTGATGGACCAGCAAGAATTTAGAATATTATATTGAAGGTATAAAAAAGAGGATATCTTTTGGAATTTTCACTTTTTTTATAAAAAAAAAACTTCGTCACCTTCTAGCTAGTCAATATATGATACATCATGATCTATCTGTTCTATTTAATTTACAAAAATGAATTTGAATAATTCGAATGCGTGCGTGTCAATGATTAATTAACTACGCAAGTTCGAATATTATTGTGTATAAGTGAGTGACCACGATTGACTCACTTGGACTTTTCAAATCTTGCTAGAATCTGTTTTGTTTCTTTTTTATGGTTTATACAGTAGAACAACGTTGAAATAGTAATTTTGTGATTACTTGTCGCAAATTCCTCCTGGCTACGTTTCTGGTTTCATTTTCAGAATATTTTCCTCCCATAAAAAATGTATAAGTTTCTTTTATGAAACTCATAAATCCTATCTGTTTTTTTCCACTGAAGTTATTTGTAAACTATTTTGTATTAATGTCAATGTCAAAAATATCGTTTTTAAGAAAAACATATTTATAAATTATGAAAAATATGAGTTGATCCAATTTCATGCAAGCCATAGAATTAATAAATGTCTATACATTAGTTCATAAATTAAAATTTAAAAATCAAATTGCACCAAACAAATTAACTGATCTATATTGCCTTTTTGGCCATCCATATATCTATCTACTTCCTTTCATTTTTTGTAACAGCATTTGTATTTGTACTACATATGTTGACTCTATGTTGAAAAAGCTCTCTGAAACTATCTTAAGGATTCCATTTCTGAAAACTTAAGGATTTTGGAATTTCACACGGCTGAAAAACTGTAATGAAATATTTCCTCTCATACTAAATATAGCAGTTAATTAAAAAATTTGTTTTAATATTGAATGTAAGATCTAAGAAATCTATTTTACCTACGAAAGTTATAATTTTTTCTATAAACTAGTATTGCCAATTGTACAAATTAAAGAAATGTTTCTTCTATATAAGGATAGTTTCCAGTACGAACAATTAAAAGGAATATTTAAAAAAAATCAAGATATATTTTTTCATAAATAACTAACTAAATTGATCTTTTTAATCTCAACAAACGAGCTGTGTAGCGCTCATATGAGTCTAGAAGACGTAATTATCAATGAAGTAGGTTGGAGAATGGGGCTAGATATTTTTAGATTTCTAAAAATATCTGTACGTCTAAATATCTTAAAAGTTTAGAATATTGTGCAATGCATGGATGCAATCAGGAGAAGAAGAAAAAAAGGCAGGGGAGACATAATATATATATATCTTTTGGCAGTAATTTCGAACAACTTTTTAACTGACTCTATCCATATTCTGTTATAAGAAACTATTATGTAGTTCCCTTTATGTTCTTTCAATTTTTTTTTTGGGTTTTTTTTTGGGAGATTATTTTAGGCTTTCGAATAATCCATATACAAATGTAAAACAGCTATAAATTAAAGAAGAAGCATAAAGGATTCAGTTCCCAATTCTTTAGGGATCCAATTCCTTACCAAAAGAAAAAAAATGCTCCTTTTTCCTTTATTAAAAAAATGTTTATAAAAAAAAGTTAGGTAAGTTAGTTAATTATAAGAAAAGTGACACATTTTTCCTAAAACACCATAATCATTTTTCTTAATACTTTCTCTCCCTCTTCTACTTGATTATGGTTGAGGGAGTATCCATAGGGGTAATTTAGAGAAAATTAATAAATATGAGAAATAGGTTTTATATTTAGGATCAAAATCAACTTAAGAATTGGATCCTATATTAAGAACCGGAGGAGTATATTCTTTTATAAATCTACAAGCTAAGCGTGCCTCGGGTTGATTAGATGATGGTCCTTTAATTTCAAGATTCCTCTCATCATATTTATAATGATTTTTATTAATTCGATT